TGTCCCATTTGCCAGTATTCCTCTAAACCCTTCCTATCCATGTAGCAGTGGGGGGGCGGTGCTGGAGAGGGGGCGGGTTTACTCCTTACCCGCATCTCTCCCTCTTAGTATGGTGTAGGACTCGACGAGATCGCCTCTCGTCGTTCACAACCCCAGCGAATATGGGGGCCCAGTTTCTCCACCCCGGCAGTCCCACCATCCTGGGGACAAAGTCTGGCGAACCTTCTATGCAGTCCCCCTGCGGCACTGAGACAGGGAGGCCAGGACTGCACGTAGCCCTCTGAGCACGCTTTTTTTAAAAAAATTGTCTTCGCTGCATGGGAGGGTGACGGGTGAAACTGCTCGCTGTATGTTTCATGAAAAAGTCCACCTGACAATCAGCTCCTCTTCTATATAAAAATTCTGCACAAGGTCACCTTTGTATGTTTAAACGTTGCTGTTTGAGAAAACCTCGATATGATTTTTATCAGACTGAACCAGCTCACTTTTCCCTGCGTTCTATTTTCCCTGCCACGTTCAGCACGCCTGTCCAAACGCAGCTTTTCCTGAAGCCCACCTGACACTCCTCGCACCCCCCCTCTCTCAAAACGCCAACCGTTTGCTCCCCCACTCTGTTCTCCGTCTCCCAGCCCGCAGTTAATCCACGCCCACGCATAACCTTCGTTACCATGGGCGCTTTCGTCTTTATAAACAGCCTCCCTTGTCAGGGACCATACCAACGTTACAATGAGATCTTGATCCATTGGGTCAATGGGCCAAGGAGGGGCAAGGGAGTTCAATTTGGATAAACGTGAGGTGTTGCGTTTTGGTCAAACAAACAAGGACAGAGCTTACACAATTAAAAGTAGGGCCTTGGGTAGTGCTGTAGAGAGGCCTGGGGGAGGGCTGGCTCAGGGATATAATTCTTTGAAGTTTGTGAAACATATAGACAGGGGGGTTGAGAAGGTGTTTGGCACGTTTGACTTCATTGCTCAGTCCTTTGAGTATAGGAGTTGGGGACATCATGTTGAGGTTATACAAGATGTTGGTGAGGCCCCTTCTGGAGCATTGTGTCCAGTTCTGGTCGCCCTGTTATAGGAAGAATGTTATTAAGCTGGAGAGGGGGTCCTTTAGCTGTCCAAGGATTGTCTGAAGATACCTCGATCCTTTCAACGAATGGGCAACAATCCTTCTACTCCTCCAACGATTGGCTCAAGACCTGAGAATCCCTCTGATGATTGGCTGCTGACCAGGAAATCCCTCTGATGATTGGCCCACAACCCTTCAATGATTGATGATTCCCCAAATCCTTCAATGATTAGCTGAAGACCTCCAATTGCTCCAATTACTGGCTCTACACCCCACCCTGATCTCTCCAATGGTCGACAAACCCTCAATCCCTCCAATGATCAATAAACCTTCAAACTATCCAACGATTGGCTGATGATCCCTCAATAGCACCAGTGATGGATTGAAGACTCTCCCAATCTCTCCAACGACTGAAGACCCACCAAATTCCACCAACAATTGGCTGAAGACACCTCAGTCCCTTCAATGATTGGTTAAAATCCCTCAATCCTTCTTACGATTGGTTCTAGACCCCACTCCCCCAACCCTCAAATGACTGATAATCCCTTGATCCCTCCAATGATTGGCCAATGACCTCCACCTCCCCCCCCACCCGATCCTTCCAATGATTGGCTGCTGACCCACCCGATCCCTCCAATGATTGGCTGCTGACCCCCGATCCCTCCAATGATTGGCTGCTGACCCCCCGATCCCTCCAACGTTTGGCCGATGACCACCCCAGATTCCTCCAATGATTGGCCAATGACCCCCACTTCCCTGATCCCAATGGCCAATGAACCCTCCATCCCGATCTCTCCAATGATTGGCCGATGACCCCCTCCGCAAGTCCCTCCAATATACTGGCCGATGACCCCCTGCCCTAATCCCTACAATGATTGGCTGATGAAGCCCCCCGCTCCCTGATCCCTCCAATGATTGGCTGTTGAACCGCTCGTTCCCGCCAATTATTGGCCGATGAAGCCTCCGCCCCGATCCCTGCCATGATTGGCTGATGAAACCCTCTCGTCCGATCCCTCCATTGATTGGCTGGTGAACACCTCGATCCCGCCAATGATTAGCTGATGAACCCGCCGCCCCGATCTCGCCAATGATTGGCCGATGACCCCCACTCTCCCGATCCCTCCAATGATTGGCCGATGACCCCATCCCCAGATCCCTCCAATGACTGACCAAAGACCCCCGCCCAGGTCCCTCCAATGATTGGTTGATGAACTCCACGATCCCGCCAATGAACACTTCCCAATGATTGGCCGATGACCCTTGCCTTAGCAACAGGCTCCTGATTGGCTGAGGACGTTACCCCTTCCCCCACAACTTCACTGGGTGCACCTCCCCGCCTCAAACCACCAAAACCCTCACTTACCCGTCTCCCGTAGACACATAGAGACAGACAGAAAGGATTTGGGTGAATGGTAGAGGGCAAGAGGCAGGGATAGTGGGGACGGGCCGCTCCTGCCTCCCTTCAAGCCCTCAGCGCCGCCGCCATCTTGGTGAGGATTGACCCTTCCCCGCCCAGTGTGTGAGGAACAGCCAATCGGGGCGCTGGGAACGTCCTTCTCCTTGACGGGCATCCAGTTATGGCCAATAGAAAGAGTCTGACGGGACTACATCTTATGATCGACGTGCAATCAACCAATGGTAGTCCGGGCATCCACAGATACGGTGTTTGATTGGCTGAAAGGGGCAGCCCAATAGCATCTCATTTTGCGCCCACGTTGAGTGGGGGTGGATCAAACCACCCAAGGGTCTAGGCCCCAAACTTCCTGCTCCTCTGATGCCGCTTGGCCTGCTGTGTTCATCCAGCTCTACACCTTGTTATCTCGGCTTCTCCAGCATCTGCAGTTCCTACTATCTCTCACCCAATAGACGGGTGGGAGGGCGGGTCCAGGGTATTGACGGACGGGGGCGCTGTCCAATGACCGAATAAGGCGTTCCACGGTGGGGGGTACTGGACCAATGGGGGGGCTTCGGATGGCCGTTATGTAAATTAGGCGTGGAAAGGAAAAGGCGCAGACGGGTAGAGGCGGCGGGACTAAACCATGACGGACGGTTGGCGCGACCAATCGGAATCCGAGTGACGCAGACACCGGCCAATTAAAGAAGGGAATGTGCGAGTGGGCGGTAACAGCATCCACGATTGGATTATATGTGTTGATGGACGCATTGGTTCGCCCAAACAACGGGGCGCTGCTGCGGTGATGCAGAATTGGGGCGGGACCTGGAAAGTGCATAGACAGAGCGGTGCACCGACCAGCGCCGGCATCTCATAGGGACGGGGACCTGAAGGGTGAGATTGTAGCTGAAAGAAATCAATGTACATAAATCTTTTCGTTTTGCAAAAGTACAGGTCGATATCGATAATCAATTATTAACTCGAGTGAAAAGAAATGTCATCGCTTGGGCTACCGGGGGTTGTAGTCCCTCTGGGCGGGTGGACCTTTACACTCCGCCGCGAGGCTACCGGCAGCTAAAACTACAACGCCCAGAATACCCTGCGGCGATGGGTCACGTGCGCCCAGCCTCGGCGAGGCCTTCGGAATGTGTGCGGAACGCGCATGCGTCGTCTCTTATCACGTCGAGACGAACGTCCGGTGCGCAAGGTCGCACGGGGGATGTAGTCAGCCCGGCTCCTCTTAAACACCAGGCGGGCACCTGTGGAACTACAACACCCGGCATTCTCCACCTCCCCCCCCCGCCAAGGAAGTAGGGAGATGCAGATATGTCAAGGTGGTGAAGCTGAGATGGAGACGTACAGCCCATTGGGCTCTGCTCTGGTCAAAAAACCACCATCTCGCTTCTCTCATTCCATTTTTCTAGCACTTGGCCCATTTTGCCTTGCATTGCAAGTGCCCGTGTAAACATTTCTTCAATGTTATGATGGCTTTCTGCCTCTATCACCCTCTGTACCCCGATGGATCACCAAAGGTTGCATATCTATTAGACAGGCATATGGATGATAGTATAAGGTAGCGATGGAGGTTAGATAGACCTTAGACAAGATGATCAGAGGATTAGATAGGGTGGACAGTGGGAGCCTTTTTCCTCGGATGGTGGTGGCTAGCACGAGGGGACATAGCTTTAAATTGAGGGGTGATAGATATAGGACAGATGTCAGAGGTAGGTTCTTTACTCAGAGAGTAGTAAGGGCGTGGAATGCCCTGCCTGCAAAAATAGTAGACTCGCCCACTTTAAGGGCATTTAAATGGTCAGTGGATAAACATATGGATGATAATGGAATAGTTTAGGTTAGATGGGCTTCAGATTGGTTTCACAGGTCGGTGCAACATCGAGGGCCGAAGGGCCTGTACTGTGCTGTAATGTTCTATGTTCTATGTTCTATTACTTCAGGGGATAGCACCACTGAATTTGTTGTTCCAGTGCACCCAGTGTGGTCTAACCAAGTTCACCATAACTTCAGGGGAGGCAATGGCCTGAAGTATTGACACTGGACTATTAACCCAGGTTCAAATCCTGCCACATGGCAGATGAATTCAATAGAAAAATCTGATGACAGTGAACTGATTGTCGGAAAAGCCAATTACGAATATCCTTCAGGTCTTACTTGGTCTGGCCTCCATGCGACTCCAGACCCACATTCATGTGGTTCTCAACTGTCTTCTGGGTAGTTAGGGATGGACAACGAATACTGACCCAGCCAGTGATGCCCTAATCCCATCGATGAATAAAAATTCTCTTCTTGAATTTGATCACTCTTTCCAGATGAAACTGGGGTGATTATTGTTTTGATATTTTGATGGTGCTAACACTGCACACATCTCTCTGAAGGTGTGTGTTTGTGTTTGTGTGTGTGTGTGTGTGTGAGAGA